TTCAGATCACCACAAGAAGAAGGGTAAGGTCAGTACAGTAAGATACTTTGAGAGAAAGAGAGAGACCACATTTATTACAGTATATTGTTATAATTGCTCTATTTTATGATTGCTATTGATAATCTCTTTCTGTGCCTAATTTATAAATTAAATTTTATCGTAAGTATGTATGAATAGGGAAAAAACCAGTGTATATAGGGTTTGGTCTTATCCATGGTTTCAGGCATCCATTGGAGGTTTTGGAACGTATCCTCTGCAGGTAAGGAGGGACTACTGTATACACACACACACCACAATAGCACTCATACCAGGCATCTCAAAACATACTGTGTCACACATATATCCCTAAACACAGTAGCAAAAAATAGGAACCAACAGAGTATCACACATATAAGCCACTAGTTGTAGTAGCATATAAAAAACTAAATGCAATGTCTCACAAAAAAATTACTAAATAACATAGCATACACACACCTGGCTTCACCAAACACAATTTCAAATTCATGTATCATGTAGCAAAGATTCCTAGGTCCTAGGCACCTAAAAAAAGGTGTCTCTCACAGATATCTAAGCAGAGCAGCCCACATAGGAGACCCCCCTGAATAGATTGTCTCACACATATATCACCAAACATAATCAGAGGATGGGCAGGCTGATGGGAGTCCCTGCTGGTTCTCCAACATTTAAAGGCCCTAAAAACGTTTGCAGTATTTACCCTACTTTGGAAGAATTAGGAAGGTGAGAAGATAAAAGATGACCATTAGAAACTTGACTTTGAATTGCCCGGGATGATTGTCCAGTAAATCCTCTAGGATTAGGGCAGATGAAGGGGCAGAATCCTTAGCCTGATCCTCACCTGGGGACCCAAGGCCATGTGCACACATGTGAATCAAATGCCAGAGGGCAGAAAAGAGACTTCAGGGGCTCCCTGACATGGGAGCCCAATGCATTGTGATTCCAAAACCAACTGGTGAAGTCCTAACAGAAACTATAGTTCGATTGGGAAGATATGTAGAAGATATGATTGATGGGATGAAGGTGAAAATTTGGAGGAAAAGTGGCATGTTTGAACACACCTTATATAAAGTAGTTGTGTCTGTATGCATTGTTGGGATGGATATGACGTCTACCTGTACGGCATGTCCCCTACCTGGTATTGCAGAACGGAATGCAAGTAAGTTCACCCTCCAGCATGTATTAATTGGACATGCTAAATAGGAACCTATAGAATTGTCTCCATAAAAGCTTTACAGGTTGTTATTTTGCAACAGGCTAGAGTAACTGGTGGGAAAAAAAAAGAAAGTACCATTTTAATTAATGACACCTTAGAAGCTGTAGTGCTGGTACCAAGAAACTCGCTGTACAATAGCCCTGTGTGGCTAATGAAAAAGGCATCTGGCACATAGAGACCAACAGCAGACCATTAAGGGTCAGACAAAACAGTTTCACCGATAGCACCAGCAGTCTCTGATACAGTTTGAATAGCGCAAAGCCAAAACGCACCAAAGGAGGCTGTACTACTCAATGGTCGATCTTGCAACTGCTTTTCCCCTAATACCAATCTCGGAAAAAGTCTACCACAGTCTGTCCTTCTGTGGAAAGGATCCTAAGGGTTATTTGAATTTACCAGCTGTCATAATTTGGTTGGAAGGGATTTGAGCTTGATGTAGTAACAATACATGCATAATAATGTGCTATATTGATTACATTGTGATAATATCAGAAACTGAAGAGTCAGCTAGGACTGACTGACATACAATGTGGACACACCTGACTACTAGAGGCTGGTTAACAAATCCAACAAAGTTCTAAGGATGTGCTTAACTGCTGAAATTCTTCAGAATCACCCGGGGCAGGCCCAACCTGAAACATTCCCCAAGCATCTAAAACAAGCTGCTTTTATTGCCTACTTTTGGAACGAAGCAAAAAGCACACTGTCTGATTTGAATTTGGAAAGATGCATATTCCACATCTAGACATACTGGCAACTCCTACCAATCAAAATACCTAAAAGAAGGTCATATTTGAATGTGGGCCTGAAAAATGGCAGACTGTGTCCAAATTACAAAAGGTGGCAATTCATTCAAAGACTTTGGGCTTTCATGTTCACACTCAGACATGATTTTTAGAGTATCAGTAACCCACAGTTGTGCAGAATGGAGTAAACTGATATGCATGCTGTTTTCTTTGTAGTGATGGGAAAATTGAGCACTAATAAGAGCCTCAAACAATGATTTCTTCACTTTAGTAATATGTTGCTAGACTAATGATTGGTATAACCTAGTTGTGCCATGCATATTGCTTGGATTATACATGGTACTAAGTGCCTGCTTGTATCTTTCCACCGATTTGTGAGTAATGTTCTAAAATAGTGCCTGGTAATAGTTGGTGGTCAGTGCCTTCTGTCTCCCTGGCTATATGTGAATGATGTATTTTTAGAACAGTACCTGCCAGATAGTCAATTCCTGATACATGCTTATTTTTCTCTCATCTCCATATGTGCGAGTAGGGTATGTACTCAACTACTTTCAGGTATATATGAGGCAGGCACTCAGTGCATGCTCTCTTTTTCCCACTGATGTGTGAGTAAAGTACTAGAATAGTGCCTGACATACACCAGGTGCTGAATGTATGCTTGCTTCATTACCTTATGTGTGAGTGATGTTTTCTTAGAATAGTAGCTGGTATATACTTGGTGCCCAATCCATAGTTTTACTTTTCACCTCTGTGTGACTGGGTTTGTTGCAGAATAACATCTGTGATATACTAGGCACTTAATGAATGCTTGTTTTCTTTCCCTCTAAATGAGTAAGGTTCTATTTGAATAGTTTATGGTGTATATAGTATGTGCTCAACACATGCTTCCTTCCCTTGCATGTGAGTGATGTTGTCTAGAGCAGTCCTGGTGCATAAAGCTCATTTCTTTAGGAGCAGTGTAATAAAAAGTGGACTGGTTGAATAAGTTCAATGCATGTTCATTCTGTCCCCCATCTGTGAATGATGTTGCATTAGGATAATACTTGACATGTATTAGGTTCTCAATTTAGGCCTGTTTCCTTCCACTGATCTGTGTTGTTCTAGAAGATTGAATAGCATATACTAGGTGCTCAATTCATGTTTTTCTTTCCCTCTGTATGTGAATAAAGTTGTATTGGAATTGTTTTGGCATATACAGGGTGGTCAATCATGCTTATTTAATATCTTGTATGTGTGAGTGGTACTGTTTTGGTTTTTTTTATGTCTTTTAGAAGTACTGACAAAGGCATAATTTATTACCAAAATGCCTGTGTAGATTTAGACACCTACGGGTTCATCTTTTCATCAAGCAGATGTGTAATGAAATCTGATGGAGGATGCGCTTTGTTAGAACTCTGAAGGCTGGATAGAATTTACACTAGTGAAGATAATGAAGGACCATCCAGGTAGGGAAGCATGAGACAATAAAGCAATTGAATTGGACTATGGTAAGTACTGCTGTACTTTGAATGAGATCTACTAGTTTTGAGTCTGTACTCTGCTCCTGTGTAATCCTGAAGACTTCATATTGACACCTAGTTTCTCAATATTCTAAATTCTCTATAACCCAAATGTTTCAGGATATCTGCAGACCCCCCTGTGCCTGCTTATCATGTGTTTCTTCCAGCAGAACACCGCTGAAGCTATAGTGTACCCTACACTCGACTTTCAAAGGCCCACATGAGAGTCAAATTGGATTCTTCACAGAGTGACCTTGAGTGTGAGACTTTTCTCTTCCCTTAGGCGTGGAATCAAATTGCTTTCTAATATGGCCTGTGTGTTAAAGACAAGGAAACTTATGTGGTAGACTCAGAGAATAATTAAACTGCAGACATTTTGATCAGCAAAGATAAGTGTCTACATTGTGATGATAAGGTCCATGATAGGAATGAGCCTGAGGATCATTCATGTGAAATGTAATAAACACATAATGGGCTTCATAGCAAATAAGCCAGAAACCAGGAATTTAGTAACAAATTACATCCCTACTACCCCTATCCTTATGGAGACTTACTGATCAGTGGGGGGGGACACAGATATTTTAATAAAGAATCACAATTCAATATATACTTTCTTTGCCATTGCATTAGACAATGCAATGTCTATGTAACAATATAAGCTTTATTGGAAATGTTTCAGTTCAAGGATTAGGAAGAAGCTAAAGGATAATAGGCTAGCATGTATAATAGCCCGTACATTCCACTTTCACTGCCAAATCACTGCTCCATCCCCACCACTAGAATGCGTACGTATTCAATATATATTTGTGGAATGAGTAAATGAATGAATTAGTGCTGCTGAGATGACGAACAGAAAAAAAAACCTAAACTATGGAGGTGTTGGGAGCATATTTTTGTCGAGTTGCATACTAGACTCTCCGAGCCTCTGTCTGCTCGTTAGCAAAAGGTGAATGGCAACATATCCCTTTATGGGGTGTTGTGATTATAAAAGTACATACTCAAAGCACTGAGCATCCTGTCAATGTTAGTTCTTCAGGAGGGAATTCTAAATCACTAGAAGGAAAATAAGTCAAACAGGGTAAGCAGGCCACTTGTCATCATGGGGTGTCCCTGGGTTTGAGTGACACCATCTGATCTCTTACTAAGGGAAGTCAGGCCAACGTGGGAAGCCGGTGAAAAACGACAGTAGAGCTGAACACTTTTCCAAGCATCCTGAGAATTTGCCAACTAGGAGGGAGCAGGGGATGGGATGCTCCCTCTGAAACTGCCTGAAGATGTAAGTTTAGAACAATTGAGACTGGGGATATCTTCTGAGCTAGAAAAGGCTTACCAAACATCTTTGTGCAAAATTCTAAGAAGACCATTTTCATTTTCATAAAATGTTACACATTCTTAGCTAAGGTACTGAACCTCAGAATGAATAGATCAGCTTGGCCGTTTCTAGACTGTGCTTCTGGGTGAAAAAAAAAAGAAATGTTGACAGCAATTTTTATTTTCTGGGCCTCACTTCACAAAAAGGCAGATGTGTGAAGATGCAATGAACACAGAGAGATGGAAAAAGGAAAATGGACACTTAAAGGCCAGAGAATTCATCCTTTCCCCAGTGTTATGAAACCCTTAGACTGAAATGAGGTGGGTATTTCTCTCCTAAGAAAGGCCTGATCTTATAGAAAAGAGGATAATTCTTTTGTTTTGGGATTGAAGACAAGGTAGTATTTGCTGCTTATGCTGATTGGAAAAAGTGATGTGGTTTTCAAATTTAAATAAATGGTAAGGCAAAATTCAAGTTTTTTCCCTAAGTAACCTTCCATTTAAATTTCTTTATGCAATAAATGGGATATAAATAAAACAGAAGAATGACCCAGGATTACTAAAGTATTCATGGATATATACGTCATATACCTTGCAGCTTAGTTTGATCATGAGCCTTTGAGTAGTATACATTCAATTTTGGCTGTTTTGGAGTTTCTTTTAAAATGACAATTAGACCATGTATATTTTATTCTGAATATTGTACTTTTTCACACAACAGTATGTCCTGAACAATTTCTGTGCCTATACATAGAGATCTACCCTGTTCTGATAGCTCTATGGTATTGTATGTTATAAGCAAGCATAATTTAATACTCCCTTTATTACTGAACATTAGTCTGTCTCCAGTTATTCCATATTATAAACAATGTTACTTGAATATATTTATATAAATACCCTGATATTCTTTCTTGAGTATTTATGTAGATTTCTTGAAGTGGGATTGCTCAAAGGATATGTGCATTTCAGTCTGGTTTTTATTTCATTTTATTCTTGTCTTGGATCAATCTCACACTGACAGAATAGTTGCAAGTACAGTAGAAAGAACTGAGTTTGTCAGTGTGTGCTTCCTACAAATAAATATAATTCCTAAAAATAAGAACCTGCATGGCCATGGTACAATGACCAAAATCAGGAAGTTAACATTGATTCATCACTACCATCTATTCCTCAGACTTCATTCAAGTTTCGGCAAATGTTCCTAATTATGTAATTTTTAGGAAAAGGATCCATTTCAGAACGAGACACTGTATTTAGTTGTCATTTCTCTTTATTCTTCTACATTCTGGAAAAGTTCTTATTTTCCTTGACTTTCAAGACCTTGTCACTTTTGAAAAGTATCAAACGATTTATAGAATGTGCCATGAATTGGGTTTGTATGATGTTTCTTTCCAATTAGGTTCAAGTTATACATCTTTGTCATAAACATGGCATTGCGTTGCATCTGACCAGAAAGTGCAACATTTTAATAATGTTCACTTTGATCATTTGATTAAGGTGGAGTTTTCCAGGCCTCACCATTGTAAGATTACTATAATTTTCCTGTTTGTAATGAGGAGGTACTTACAATGTTGGAACCATCTCATTTCTCATCAAACTCTGATTTATTCATTCCTTTAGTTATGTCTGTGATATAAGGATACATTCTTTGTATTGCACTTGCAAATTTTATCTAAGTGTAGAATTGCTACAAAATAAACACATGGTTTCTCATGTGATTCAATGCGTTATAATATGTTGCTATCGTTAAACACTTTCTTACTTTCTGATAGAGCAAAATGTTTCAAGCCCACCTTCTTCTTGCCTTCCCAGGCTTAGAATTAGGCATTTCCTGAAGGATTCCTTATTCCTTTTTAGTGGCTATTGGCATTTAGAAGCCAAAATCTGGGTGGTAGATATGGTTATTGCTATTAGGGTGTCACTATTTTTTAGTTCTAATCCGATATCACAGGATGCATTCTAATAATACCCCTTTCATATAAGTGACTCCCTTTTCCAAAAGGGAGAACCTGGATCTAATTTTCCTTATTTTATACACTTATTTGATGAACCCCCTACATATAAACCATCTCCCATTGTTTGTCTTGCACGGAACCCTTCTCATCTGCTGGGGCTCTGAACCCCTTATGAGAGCTCTCATCCTGCTTCGGTTCAAAACGTGCCCAAGGCCAATCCCACATGCGGGTGCCCTCCTCATCCTCATCTATATTGGACTCTTGACACCCCATGCAAGATGGCTTCACATACGGATGTCCTTTTAGATTTGGGAGGACTGACACTCTCATCAGGCCACTTCCATGCCTGGATTTCCTCCATTCTCTGCTTAGGCTCTGTTACGCCGTACTAGGTCACCTCTGCATGTGCACACCCTTCTTGCCCATATTGGACTCTGCACCTTTCTTTATGGAAATCTTCCTTTCCCTTCTCAGACACTGACATTGCACACCAGTTCCCCCTCCTCCAAGGAGGCCCTTTACAGCCTGCTTGGGCCCTGACTGTGATAAAGTTGAAGGTTTAAGCCTCTTGTGTATTTAAGTTCTGACAAGAGTGATTTTATTTATTCATTCAAAAAATGAATATGAATGAATAATTACTCATGTAAAGTTCAAGGTGTTGGACAGACCTTTCCCATCATGGAGTGTGTATCCTAGCAGGGGTACTCAGGCAAAAAGTAATAGATGTAATAAACAAGCACATTATATTATATCTCTTAAAAGAGTGCAAAGTGCTGTAGAAAAAAAGGTAAGGATAAGAAGCAAGGTAAGGATAATTGGGAATGTGTGTGTGTGTGTGTGTGTGTGTGTGTGTGTGTGTGTGTGTGTATGGGGTTATGGGTTGTGCTGAAAACCACAGGCTTTGAATTTGCTGTCCTTTAGGGACAGACATAGAAAATAAGCATCCCCTAGGATGAATTTGCCCCTTAAATGGGTTGTTAAGCTTGCTTGATATTTGTTTATTGCTAACATTTAATAATCAGAAAATTTCATGCAAAAACCCCCTCCATTTTATGCTTTTCTCTGGAACTTCAGAATAAGCAACACTAGGCTAGTTCCCCTTATGGCACTGGCTCTGAAGAATATGTATCTCCTTTAAATAAAGCAATTTTTCTCCTTTCCCCCACACTCTGCACCTGGCTTGCTTCAGATATTCACTTACCTGCACAGGTATATGAGTGTTTGGTCCCTGCTCTTCAGTACCTGTACTTGTATATTACTCTATGGTGGTCTGTAAGAGGTAGGGTCTTATCCAGCGAGGCTCTGCTGTGGCCCACTATATTGCCTTCAGATATATTTTGTTTCTTGGTCACAAGGATAAAATGCTCTTAAGGAAAAAAAAAGGCATAGGAGGTACAAATTCACTTCCATCTTTTCTAGCATCTAATTGATCCATTAGCCACCAAGAACGTCACCAGATTTTGGTTCTAACATGGAGGACCCGGGACTCACTGGAGAGCTGATGTGGGTGGTCTTATTGGATTTTGGTGGCCTCGTGCAGAAGACATTTGACCTTAATAAGGAGCAGACACTAAGCTGATGTGTGTGAGGTCATGAATAAGAAAATAAAACAATAACTACAAAAACAAAACCCCACACTCCTTAAAATATGCTATTTCCATTGCAGCATTATTTCCCATAGCCAAGATATAGAAACAACCTAAGTGCCTGCTTATTGGTGAATGGTTAAAGAAATTGTGATGGATGGATCTCTTTTTCTTTATACAATTCAGTTTGAAAAAAAGAAGGAAATTCTGCCAACTGTGACAACATGGATGAATTTGGAGGACATTATTTTAAGTGAAATAAGTCAGACACAGAAAGAAACATATTACATGATATTACATATCTGAGGAATTTTATAAAGTAGGATGGTAGTTGCTGGGGGTGGGGAGTGGTGGAAATGGGAAGATGTTGGTAAAAGGGTGCAAACTTTCAGGTACAAGATGAGAAAGTCCTAGAGATCTAATACATGGCATGTTACCTATAATTAATAATACTGGATTGTATACTTGGCTAAAAGAGTATATAAGCACATATACATTAACATTCACACACACATCCCAAATGATAACTGTGAGCTGATGGATGTGTTAATTAGCCTTATTATGGTAATCATTGCACAAAGCATATTTAATCAAAACCCCACATTGTACACATTAAATATATGCAATTTTTTACTTGTTAATCATGCCTTTATAAAGCTAGGGAAAAAACTGTCCACCAAACTGTAAAATCATAACAGTAACAGAAATAAAACCTAACACAAGGTCTTCTGATTAATAAAAATAAAAATGAAATATATTTCATATTTCTTTCATAAGTAAATAAATAAAAAAAAATATTCTCCTTTCCAACCACAGTGAAGAGAAGCAGTGAAGGACTCATGACAACTGTAGACAATTGTTTATTTAATGACAAATAAAAGAACAAATTTCAGTAGGAAAACCTCAGGAACTACGATTTATCTCCAGCATACTAGCCATGTGAACTCAAACTTGTCAAGCAATTATGTAATGACTTAATTTCATGGAACTTCACAGTCATTGTAAAACATTCAAGAGAAAGTAAGATCCAGGGCTGGCACACTGAACTGGCAAGTTTGCATTCTCCCAGAACACACTCATGAAAAAGAACCGTGCATTCAATTGGTTTGTGTTCTTGATTGTCTTTGGAAGATCTAAGCAATTCTTATTTAACTCTGATTTTCCTTACTTGACCTAACATCAGGATAAGTGTTGTAGGATCTCAGATCTCATCTACAGATTTAAATTTGACAAATGGAACTAACCCTCTGGTGAAGGCATTGAATTTTTTCATGTATTTTATCACGTATGTTCAAATGTTCAAATATAGGTTTCTTCAATGCTTTTGCACAATTACTTTGCATCGGGAGCCCAAAGAGAGGCTTACAAATTTCTTTCTTGTCTAGAAAAAACCCCAGGTATTTCAAATGGCCCAAGTCATGATTTCAGTCTTCAAAACTGCCAACAGCACTAAAAAGTACATCTTACATTCATATATGCGTTTTCCTTCAATTTAGCCTGACATCATGCAATCATTCATCGGATTTAAATTTTATTGAGCACCTATTATGTTCCAGGCAGTGTTCCAAGTGTCATGGAAAGAAGAATTATGCAGGTATATAATGCATCATGTATACATATCAGATGTCATGGGATTGAGTGAATTGAATCAGGTATAGACTCTGCTCTACAGATTGTAAGAAACCAAAGAGGATAAAATACACAAAAATAATTTTAATAGAAGGAAAAAGACTAGGATAAGGATCATAAAAGATATATGATAAAAAAAGAAACTAAGGAAAGACCAGGGAAGTGAGGTATAATTTCTGGATGGAGAGCTGGGTGGGGTGGGGTGGAGAGAGTGGAAAGGCAGGGAACCTTCATCAAGGAGGAAAATTTGAATGATCTCTACTATTATGAGAATTTTGCAGTTTTATTTCAAATAGCCCTAACCTTCCTAGATATTAAAAGAATTCAGGATATGTAACACAGACAGTTTTATGTTTGGAACAACAGAACAAAGAGGGAAGGTAGACATAGCACTAAAAGCCTATTTAGCATTTTTCCAGGTCTTGTCTGCTTTGCTTAACATTATAGCCCCAGTGCCTTGAAGAATGTAGGGAGCTTTGTAGACATCCAATATATAAGGAATTAAAGACAAACCCTAGACATAAGAATCTTTTTATTTTCCTTAAAAGACTTGTGGTTAAACTCTGCTTACGACACATGTTAACCTAAAAACTTGGGGAAACTGTGGGGAGGTGGGATCTAATCAAGCTTCATGCTTCCTCGGATCACATATAAGCCAGCCTGACTTTGTGAAACTCTTATGTTGATCTTATATTGGAATTCCTGCAAAACACTGTTGAGCATTTCAGTATATAGTTTTGTTTCAATGTCTTAAACAAATAGTAAACAAATGAGGCAAAAACAACAAGCAGGTAAAAGTTGATCATTGTTTATAGAAAGTAGTATTGCCTAAAATAATACTATATATACACTGTATTAAATTAATGCAGGCTGAGTTCTTTTTTCTAAGATTTGTCCAGTGGAGTTGTGTTAATCATATTACTGGTCAAAACATTTTACATTTGTATTGAGTGTTGTATTTAATTGTCCTTTTGATTATCTCATTTGATAGTCTAATAAAAAATCAGGCAGAAGAAACAGTGGCCTCTGGTTCAGAGATGATGAGAGTGAGGCTTAGGAAGAATAAAGCCCAAGTTCACAGACCCGGTAAGGGCCAGAGCTTGGAATTTCCAAATCCATCCCTTTGGTACTGTCTTTTTATATTAGAATTATATTTTTCCCAAGGGAAGGAAAGTCAGTAGGCTAACAATGCAAAATAAGTGAATCCTGTCTAATAGCCCTGTTCATACTCTGGACATTAGGCAGCTAAGAAAAAGAAATAGGAAGAGAAAGGTGACATAGAGCAGAATGAGTTCATGATCAAAGTGTCTGTTATTCCTGCTGAGTCTTAGATTTACTGCTGTCTCCCAGGGTAAAGTCTGATCGTTATTTCGTACTTATGGGAAAGAACTACTGACATAAAGAGATGTAGCTCATTCTGTTCTTAGTCCTCTAACTTCAACCATAAAGACAGAAAGAAGTGGCCACAGATGAGAATGAGATTACTTTTCACATAAAATTGGATTAAGAAGACCTGCTTCCCTCTTTGAAGTATTCCTTGAAAAAATGCATACTTTCCTATTGAGAATCTTACAAATTATCACTTTTAATGGATCTTACAACATAAAGTGCACTGTGCTTGAACTCCAAACTTGTGTCATGCCTTGGTGAGTATTTTATGGATTGTAAAATTGGAAAATAAATTAAGATACAAAAGTGGCTGCTAGCTCCTCCATCTGACAAATCTTATTTGGGATTAGTATGTAATACTCTTTTAAGACCTCTTTCATTTCTTTTTCATGGAGTTTAACTGAATACCAATAAAAGTGAGGAAATTTTATCCTTGTGTCTTTGTTTCTTCTTTGTTAACCATATTACTTAGCTGTGCAAATTTTCTTCTGAATGATCACAGGCTTTCGGAAAATAGCATCAGATTTAACTGTGTTTTCTAGTTTTCAAACATTGCACAATGACTGATAATATGCTTGAAGACAATATACTTTAAAACAGATGTTAATCCCACGAAGATCAGTTTCTGGAATGACAGAATTAGGCCTTGATGAATTCATTCTTTCTCAAGAACAATAAAAAATACAAGAAAAATGCCTAAAATCAATCATTTCAGGCCCCTGGCAATTAATCAAAGTTTCAAAATGAACTAAAAGCTCTCTGTGTGAGAGAAAGCACTGAACTTAAGTATGACTGCAGGGTCTGTGATATTTGAATTTAGGGCTATTCTCCTCTCCTCTCACTTCTTCCCCAGCTTAGTGGTGTGTAGGCAAAAGCCAGATCTTTGAAGAGAATGAAAAGATTGGCCCCTTTTTGGCCTTCATTAAAAGTATCCCCCCCAGTGCAGAACCAATATTTTGTCTTAAACTTTCAGCTCCCTGGCACGTTTCTATGCTTAGGTAGGTATCTGAATGACTTGGAGCTTAGCTCAGTGGGAGGTGGAGGGAATCCAATACCAGAGTGTTACAAACAAGTCTGTAACATCAAGAACAAAATATAGGGCCTGGGAAGAAACAGGAAAATAAGCCTACATGTGTTGGTGGGGGAGGAGGAGGGGAAGAAGCCAACAGAAAAATGTCCCTGAGGAGAATCAGATTTTGGACTTAGTAGATAAAGACTTTAAATAAACTATTATGTAAAATTCAAAAGAATTGTAAGAGAACATATATAAAGAATTAAAGGAAGTTGTGAAAACGATATTGGCAATGGTAATTGCATAGGTGTTATGAAAGGCAGTATAAATGTACATTTGTTTATAATCCTTCTCCTCTCCAGCCTGTTTTAAAAGACGACTGCATAACAATAAATATAAAACTGTATTAATGGGCTTATAATGTATACAGATACACATTTATACAAAAGAGGGAGAGGAAATGAGAGAAGTTTCGCATACTATTGAATTAAGTTAGCAGTAACTAGATTTTTTAAATTAAGGCACAAATTGTAATTTCCAGAGTAAGCACTACAAAAATAACTTAAAACATAGTGAAACAAACAATAAGAGGTGCATTATAAAATACATATTTAACAAAAATAAAGGGCAAGTATCAAAGGAGTAGAGAAAACAGCACAAGACACAAGGAAACCAAAAAGCAAAGGAAAGATATAAATCCTGCCTTATCAGCAATTACATTAAATGTAAGTGGGTTAAACACCCCAATCAAAAGACAGATGTTGACAGAATGAGTAGATACTAAAAATGCTCATAATGGTTACACTTTTAGTCAAATGACTTTCAACAAGTGTGCAAAGACAATTCACTGGGCCAAATGGATATCCTCATGCAAAAGAATGACTTTGGACCCCTACACCATACCATACACATTTAATACAAAGTTGGTCACAGTTCTAAATATAACAGCTAAAACTGCAAAACTCCTAGAAGAATATGTGGGAGCAAATCTTCATGACATTGTGTTAAGCAATGGTTTCTCATAGCAAGAGTACAAGAGACAAAAGAGAAATAAATAAATTGTTCTTCATCAAATTTAAACACTTCATCAAATTTAAAGATATCATTAAGAAATTGAAAAAACTCACAGAATGGGAAAAAAATATTTGTAGAGCTACATATCTAGAATATATAAAGAATTACTACAACTTCCCAAGAATGTAAACTACTTAGTTTTAAAAAAGTAAACGATTTGAATAGTGTTCTCTCACAAAAGACAATGAAAATGGGCAATAAACATGAAAAGATGCATAGTATCTTTAGTCTTCATGGAGATTATACAAATTAAAACCATGGTGAGATACTATTTCACAATTACTTGGATGGCAAGAATATGTGAAATGAAACCTCATACAGCATTGATGGGAATGTAAAATGGTATAGCCACTTTGAAAAACAATTTGGTAGCTCCTCAAAATGCTAAATATAGAGTTTACCATAGGACCCAGAAATTCCACTCCTAGGTATATATACAAGATGAAAATATATGTTCATCCAAAAACCTGTACATGAATGTGCATAGCAGCCTTATTTACAATAGCCAAAAAGTGGAAACAATCTAAATATCTACCAACTGATGAGTGGTAAAGAGAAGTGGCATATCCACACAATGGGATGTTATTCAATAATAATAAAGAATAGAATAGAATGGTATGGTATGATATTAAAATGTGAAATGGATTATATAACTAATATTGGGGGGAAGGGAATACAGATTGATACATCTGTGATATCTGAAAATGATTTTTTGTACTGAACTGGGGTATTTGAAGTTCAGTTGGCTTTGTTTACAGAGATGTTACCTGCTGAGATACAAAGTCCTAATCATTACATACAGCTACTTTTATTTAATTTATATTTGATCAAATTTTAAATATCCAATCAATAAGCACATATAGTATATTATCTTGAAAAATGCACATTACATACATGTGTGTGTGCATATATATATATATATATTTATACATTATAGATAAAGCTAAAACCATATCCTTTATATCTTTTCCACAATCTTTGTGGGAATATATGTGACATATATTATGCAGAAGTAAATACTGCTGAATTAGTATCATACCGTATGTGTCCTTTTGCAAGTTTTATTTAGTCCAGAGATGCTTCTCTTTCTTTTTTACAGACAGTATCTTTGGATGAGGTGTTAATTAAATTGAAAAAGATGTATGAGTTGGAATTGGAATTTTCCTGTTCATCATTAATACAGAATGTGACACAATCACCTGGTGTCTGAAGACTATATTCAGTTCAGTCAGACATTGGGTACATTAGACTCATGACTGATACGTAAGTACTGGTTTTACATTTGTCTGGTGCATTATCCATATGCTGTTCTAATTCAATAGGAACCAATCTATGGATGGTTTATGCTGTAGAATGTATGTGTGGGTGTCATTTTCAGGGCCAGTATTTGCATTTTCTACAAGTTCTCAAAGGAATCTCAGACTCACAAAAGCTTAAGGATCATTAACCTAGAATCTACCTTTAACATTTAGCTACATCTCTGGATTATTTTTAGTACTTTATTTTTTCAAAAAAATCACCTGCTTATCATATGTTAATAATATTCTGTTATGTTTTATTCTACATTATTGTTTCTGTTTTACATTTAGATTTTTAACCCTTCTGAAATAGATTTTTGTGTTTGGTATGAGTAAAGAGCATTTATTTTCTTCTAGATATGTAACCAATTGACTGAACATTATTTACAGAAAGACCACTCTTTCCTGGTATTTCTAGATTCTATATTATGTTTAACAAAGAAATTAGGAATTTGTTTTTTCTTAGGGAATAACCACATTCATTTCATTACTATGTATTTATTTAGAGTAAATCTTGATGTCTAGCAGTATAAATTTCCGCATTTTCTTCAAGTTGCCCTATCTTTGGGCCTTTGCTACACACACACACACACACACACACACACACACACACACACACACACACACACACACACAGCTTCTTGAGATTTTGACTGGGATCTCATTAAATCTCTAGTTTAGTTTTGGTAAATCTGACAGCTTTGCAATATTGATATTTGGTATGAGTAAAGAGCATTTATTTTCTTCTAGATATGTAACCAATTGACTGAACATTATTTACAGAAAGACCACTCTTTCCTGGTATTTCTAGATTCTATATTATGTTTAACAAAGAAATTAGGAATTTGTTTTTTCTTAGGGAATAACCACATTCATTTCATTACTATGTATTTATTTAGAGTAAATCTTGATGTCTAGCAGTATAAATTTCCGCATTTTCTTCAAGTTGCCCTATCTTTGGGCCTTTGCTACACACACACACACACACACACACACACACACACACACACACACACACACACACACACAGCTTCTTGAGATTTTGACTGGGATCTCATTAAATCTCTAGTTTAGTTTTGGTAAATCTGACAGCTTTGCAATATTGATTCTTCCAATCTGTAAAACAGTATAACCCTCCATTTTGGTAGGTCTCCTTTAATTTCATTAAAAAATGCTCTGTGTCTGTGACACAGAGGTTATACTGAGATTTATTCCTCAGATGTAACTTGATTATTGGTGCCTTACACTTTTTAAATTTCATATCTTATTATTTTGCATAAAAATTTTTAAAATTACATAATTCCATCTTGATCCAGCTCCTGAACCTCCTACCATAGCTCAAATTTGTAGAATTCAGTTAACAGTACCATTCATTAGCATGTACAATACGTGTGTGTGAGCATGCATTTCTCTAAAAATGGGAGCATTCTGAATTCTTTTCTTTTCAGATAGAGATTTATTACTTGGTGATCTGCATGGTAAAGAGTCAATGTTCTTAGTTGCTTTAGCTAGAAATGAAGCATTTCACTTTTACTTATCCATATGCAATGAGGCATTTAGTGAAATCCTTTTGGACAACTCAGAATTTGCTCTAATAAATATTCTTAAAGAAATTAAGCAGATAAGATTAAAGAGACCTAGATGTTTTCATATTTATATCACCCAGTTTTAAATGCTGCTTTATGCCAATCAGTTAAAAGAATGTAGGGTTGGTTCATATTTTTCTTATCTGGATAAATTGTTTATCTACTTTAGTTTGAGTGCTTTTGTAACTCTGCTTTAGTGTTACAACTAAATTTGCACCAAATTCTATTCTTTGTTTCCTTTCTGGTTGAGAACACTTGCTTTAAAAATATCCCTGTAACCAGAGCATGCAAAGTGCCTCTCCTTCTGGGATCCAGTGGACCTGCAGTAACAAACCTTATATAGGTTTCTATTCCTCTGATGAAAATTTAGTAATCAATTTTCAATCTGGTTAAAAGTCATATTGTCCAAGCTTAATAAATTTACTTTTTTTAATAAGGGTCCATACAGAAATGCTAAATCACATCTTAACACCTAGTTAAAAGGCTTGCTTTAATATAGCAGTTATGAGATCTTGTGTCTTAAAAGTACCTTTTATTAGAGAATATAATGCTTAAAAATTTATGGTCTGACACAATGAAAGAGAAAATAATTCAATGATCAGGTTTGAGGTTGGTGGAATGATTCTGAGACAAGTATAGATGACACTAAAAGGTGTCTTCCTTGCATCACCCTTGTCTCTTTGTGGTCTGTATGATTTCAGGTCAATAAAACATTGTTTATGAGAACAGACTATGTCTCAGCCAGAGTGCTCCATGCTGTGGGAGTTTGCAGAGGTTAGCAATAGATTGCCCCAATGTCTGTATACACAGTCCTGTGAAACAGCAAGCGTCAACCCCGCTGGTCCCCAGCCAGGAGAAGTGAAGTGTCTCCTGGGTAGCAGTCACAAGGAACTCCAGATGAGTTTAGAAGCTACGTTCTGGTAGGTACTGTTGAGCTGTAGTGAGGCAGAGGGAGAGCCAAAGATGGTACCCCTGGCCTGTCTTCCCCAAGGGCACCTCCATGGCCTCTAGGGGGCTGCCAAACCACTAGCCTGCCCCTAAGGATGAAGACAGGACTAGCAACTAGGCTTCTTTCACAGAAAGGCTGCGGGTGTTTTGGTCTGCTGTCTGTGCAGGGCTCTGAGGGTGGTAGCATTCCAAGAACTGCCTGTCTGGTTGTTACAGTCTCAGGGCATCCACCAACACAAGACTCCCTCTGCTGGCCTCCAGTACCAGGCGATCGAGGGGATTTCTCTGCATGCACTTGAAAACCAGGGCACCAGACTTGTGGAGAAGCTCCTGTTGGGGAGCTACAGGTACAGTGGAGCACAGCAGAGGGAGAGGGCAAAGGCGGCACTCACTGCCCAGAGCAGTGCACTGGGCATGCGGAGATGGCATCCACCAACCAAGTGGGAGTGGGGTGGGGGGTGGCGGTGGGGGGTAGGGGGAAAGAAGAAGTTAAAAAGAAAGTAAAAAGGAAACATTTTCCAGCCCAGGGCAGATTACCTTTGAAACTGAAATCAGTCGAAGGGAGAAATAAAGTGGGAGAAACTTGTTTATTGCTTACAAGCAGTCATCCACTTCTACCTGCCTGTGCCTCTCAAGACCCGGCTGCAAAAAGGGACCCCACCCAACCTCTCTGGTCCAGATATGCCCTCGCTCCCCCATGTAATCATCCATTGATATGGAGATGGACTGCTTCTCTCCACCCCTTGGAAACACCTACCGATATGGAGATGCACTTAAGGCCAGGCTAGAGATTCTGGAAATATTGCAATTTTACCCGCACAAGGAAAGAAGCAACAAAAAGAGATGGTGCTCACTGGCTCTAGTGAGGCAAGCGGGGAGGTGCAAGATGGCGCCTGGTGGCTGGAGCATAGAGATGGGAAGGGAAAAAAGAGATGCTGGCTTTCCCAAGGCAAATGGAGAGTAAGGAAGGGGGCACTCACCAGCCTCTGGCCCTGGAGAGTGACCCAGCAGGCCGCTGACCCTCAGACCTATGCATTCAACTTAGGAAGTGAGGCTCCCTCCAGGGGCTGCTTGTCCTGCACCCTGGGGCTGGCGAGTCTGTGAGCCAGAGCCGTTCCTCAGCTCACCGCAGCCCAGTTGCACTTACGGGCACGGGTTCCATTGGTCAAGCCAGATATTTTGAGGGGTCATCTTTCAGGTGTAGTCTTAAAAGTGGGGGTGCCGGATGTGGGGCATGAACCCTTCCCTCCTCAAGGAGAAGCTCTGATTTTGAGCTCCCTCCCGACTGTGGGTCCCTGTGCCCAGGGCTGGGCTTACGGCAAGATTGTGTCTCAGCTTTTCCTGCTCACCTTGATGTGGTTTCCGTCGTTGTTTGCCCGGTGTGAAGGGGTCACTCTTCCGGTTCTTAGGTTTTTTTCCAGAGAGAATTGTTCCATATATAGCTGTAGATTTGTTGTCTCCATGGGAGGAGGTGACTCAGGATCTTCCTACATTGCCATTTTGAACTGGATCCCCCTAAACAATCTTTTATACGCTTTATTTACTTGATTAATTATGTGTGAGCACCTTTTTAACCTAACACTTGAACCTTATGCTGCCCAAATTTACCTCTCCAGTGTTAATAAATGTTATTGCACTCTAACAATATTCTCAGTATTTCCTTATCAACAAAGCACTCAAGATGACTTTTGGTCTTCTCGCAGAGGCTCTTCTTACTAGGTATCTCATCTACCCTGGAAAATTCACAGTCATTATCTCTTCAGAAATTATGCCTCATTCTATCCATATTTTCAGAGCTTTAAGTATAATCACAACTTCTCTTTACACTTGCCATCAATTTATCCTGCAATTTGTGTGATTCTTGTTATTTACCCTCTTATTCTTTATTCACCTTCAACTTTGTCTGGCGTATTGTCTAAACTATCCGTCTATAGAGGGTTGTTTTTTTGTATATTTCAAAGCTATAATTATACTTTTACAATATGGTTTATTTTTAAATCTAATTCTTCCTTTTCCTGCTGTTCTCATTTCCTTTCTATATTTCATAAAGATTTTCAATAATATACATTTAAAAGTTCCTTTCTGATTGTTTTGTTATCCATATTTCTTGAGGTATAAACTTCTGAGGATTACTGATTAGACTAATGCCCCCTCAGTGTGAGTCATTTCTTTGTATAGATTATTTATTTTTAAGGTCACCTTCTATGAGTTTGTCTTCCAGGTAATACTACTTTTTCTGACCAAAGCAAGAGGTCCAGCTATAGGGTAGTTCCTAGCCCGACTCTGATGAGACCTCCAATTTTCACTAGATCCAGACCAGTCCTGTTAATTTCTCAGTATCCAGTTGGATGGGTGAATGCAGCTCCTATTCCCCTGTGTGGCCCAGGTATGGTGTTTTGATCTTCCTGGGTGACTCCTTCTCCCTCACAAC